AGCAGTAGTCGTAGTAGTAGTAGTAGTAGTAGTAGTAGTAGTAGTAGTAGTAGTAGTAGTAGTAGTAGTAGTAGAAGTAGTACTAGTGTAGTAGTGGTAGTAGTAGTAGTAGTAGTAGTAGTAGTAGTAGTAGTAGTAGTAGTAGTAGTGGTAGTAGTAGTAGTAGTAGTAGTAGTAGTAGTAGTTTCGGGCCTGGTGCCCTTTGTCCTAGATGTCAACGGCCGCTGGGGCGCAGAGGCGGAGACGTGGCTGCGCCGTGCCGTAGGGGAATTGGCTGAGGCCGAACGGCTCGCGGCTCGTGCAGCCCTGCGGTCGGCAGTAGCCAACGCCCTGCAAGGACAAATTGCGGAGCAGGTCGCCCTGGCGACGGAGGACGCAGCGAGACTGGATGCAGGGGCCGCCCCGAGCGTCCAGTCTTGACTAGCTGTGGCCCCGCCCCACTTGCATGCGAGCACTGACCCACCTCTCCCCTTCCTCTTTCCCGCAGCCCTGAGTGGTCATAAAAAATTGCCACCTCTGCAGTGTGCAAGGTTTCGCTCAGTCTCCAGGTCGCGCACACAGCGCGCCTCTATAGTATCATGTTTGGTCTGCACGCCATGGTGTGTTGCCTCCTTGCTTTGCGCATGTTGTGGTCTCGACATGCCTCATCTTTGATGCTCGTCATCTCTGGCATGAGGTGGTCTCGCTGCCCATCGGGGATGAGCCTTCGTGCAACCAACAGCACCTGCCCTAGGCCGCTGGCTAAAGAGGCGTCAAGAGGCGTTGAAGATCGGGGCCTCCCCGCGGGTCCTGGGGCCGTCGGCTGCCCGCCGCCCGCTTTGTCGCCCGCCCGCGACGTGGTTGCCTCGCCCCCCTCCCCCCTCTCCTGCCCGTCCAGGGCCCCGAACAGGGGGTCAGGCCGTTTTCCGCCAACATAATGCACGGGCCCCATGCATCTGGAACCGCTGGCTTCAGCCCATCGTCTTCCTGTGTCACCTGTGTCCCGCCCTGGCAGTTGACCGCCCCATTTTGGTTCGGTGTACAGCCTCCTCCCCTCCCCTTCCCCCCCCCCGCCAGCTGTTTGGCTCGTGAGTAACTGCCTCGCACATTCTCTCGAGCTGCACCTCTCGTGCCATCCACCCGACCAAGTTATGGCGCCCAAGTTCTCGAAGCCTGTGCCGACGCCGTGGCCCGCAAAGACGCGCGCCGCGGGGGAGGCACCAACCTCCAGAGCAAGACCGATGCAGCGCCCTGTCCAGCAGGTAAGCTTGTCGGGGAGCGAAGGCGAGGATCACGACATGGTGTCTGAGGCGGCGACCTTTCGGACGGCACCTACGGTGCACACGGGATCAGCTACCCCCGCTGAGGACGCCGATGGAGGCGGCGGTACGGGGGCCGCCCCCAGTGCCGCCGCTTCCGATGGCGCCTCGGCGATGCCTGCATCGGCGGTGGTGCCAGTGACATCAGCCGCCCTGGCGGCGGCAGCCACGTATGCCGACTTCACCGCAGAGCAGCGGCGCGGGCTGGACGCGCTCACCCTCGCGCCCCACAACCTTCAGCTGAGGGAGCATGCTGTGGGCGGCCGTGGCGGCCGTGGGACGCGCAGCGAGGCAGACGCGGAGCGCGCCGTGGACGACGGGGCCGCCAGCGAGGCCCCGAGTGCTGCGACCGCGGGAGCCCTCAGCGGCCGTGGGGGCAAGCGCCACCGCCGACGCAGCAACAAAGCCGTCTACGGCCAGGCCCCCCAGCCGAGCGACGGCGCACCAGCCGCGCTCGAAGACGTAGAGATGATGGCGGAGGAGGACTACGCTGAGGCGGGCTACGTCCACTGCATGGGCGCGTACTGGGTCCCGCCGCACCGCCTGGGCTGGCGTCGGAGGTGCACGGCGCTGGACGACTGGAAGATCATGGCGGTGGAGTACGTGGACGAGCTCAGCTGCGCGGAGATGCGTCGCTATGCGGAAGCCAAAGAGCACAACAAGAAATACCCCGATCTGAGGAGGGGCGAAGAGGGGCAGTACAAGCTGTACATGTGCTCGACCTGCGTGGCAACGACGCATGGCATCTCCGAGCACGAGGCCGTGACGCGCGCTGCGCGCGCGAACAAGGGCCCAGGCTCCATTGACCATGCCGCCAAGCGGGTGGCGAAGTTCCGTGCGAGCTTCGACTACATCAAGGAGGGCATGGGCGTCCTGGTGGGGTTCGCGCTCTCAGAGGAAGGCTTGCTTGCCCTGCGGAGGTCAACGGAGGGCGTGGGGGTGGGCATCGACCCCGAGAGTACAGGCGCCCCCCAGCCACGGAAGAAGTGGCGAGGGAGGTGGGCCGCCCGATGGCGAGGGAGGCGGGGGTGGTGCCAGGGCCGACCCGCGCGCCACCCCCGCCCCTCGAGGAAGAACCTCCCAGTGATGAGGAGAACGACCCTCAGCCCGGCGTGGACGCGGAGGGCCAGGGGCTCCAGCTGACCGAGGTCCAGACCGTGAAGGAGGTAACGGACATCGAGCCCTTGCTGCGGCTCGGCCTATCCAAGAAGTCGCTGAAGCGCATGGCGCGGGCCTATGGCGCCCTCACATTCGAGACCATGCGCGCCCACGTGCTGGGCGGCCTGGGGCCCATCCTGGAAACGAAGGAGGACATGGGAGGGGCACCGAGGTGCAGGACGGAGTCCAGAAGTGGCTCGACGCGCTGAACGAGGAGGCGGAGGTGGATGTGGGAAGGCTGAAGAGGGGTCTCCTGGAAGTCTCGGGGATCGCAGATGCCCACCTGGGACACAAACGTGCCTGGAAGGAGGAGTGCCAGGGCAACGCCGCGGCGCAGGAGGCCTACCGCCGCATGGGCGACTACACGGACCAGTTCTACCGTGGCAAAGGCTTCACGTTCAACATGTACTACAAATGCGCGGCCAACAAGACCTGGGATAATCTCAGGGGATGCTGCTCGGTGATCCGCTCGGATCGCTGGTCACAGCTGCTCTCATGCGCCCAGGAGGCAGCGGGAGATGCGGGCCAGTGCTGGTACTGCCACTGCGGTGCGCGCTACTCGACCTCCTATGGGGTCTGCGTCGAGTTCATAGAGGAGGAGTCGGATCCGCCACACGCGTACTACATGCACGCGGAGCATCCCGAGGAGGACATCCGCGACCTGAAGGCACTGCTGCGCTACGACAAGCTCAAGAAGGAGGGGATCTCAGTGGTCAACGCGGTGGACCTCCTGAGGTACCTGCCCAAAGTTGAGCCGCTGGCGGTTGGCACCGTCTTCAAGCGCTATGCTCCGCACCAGGCACAGTGGGAGGGCCACTATGTGCTGATGGAGGGGCTCACCTGGGAGAGCTTGCCCACGTTCGAGTGGACCGACCTCTACGCGCAGGTCGCCTGGGGACTGAACGACCCTGAATGGGCGGGCTACAGCAAGAAGGCGCGGAACAAAGCCAAGAGGGAGCGCCTGGAGATGGCGCGCAGGGAGTTGGCGCTCTACGAGCGCCGTCACAACCTGAAGGAGGGCAGCCTCTCGGGCGGCGGGGGTGGTACAGGGGCCGCCCCGCGCGCCACCCCCGTTCGCAGCGCCGGCGCCCCGCCAGCGAGCGGGGCCCGCGGCAGCGAGGACCCGCCACCACCGCCAGCTGGAGTCCCGCCAGAGGCCGCAGCCATCATGGGCCCCCCGCCGCCGCCGCCGACGGCGCCCCCTGATGTGCCGCCGCCGCCGACGCACCCGCCACCGCAGACGGACTCGCTCCCGCAGCAGGTCCCAAGCGCTGCAGCCCTGAACGTGGCCCTCGGTGAAGACCTTGAGCGTCAGATCTTTGGGCCCGCGGGGCAGGCGGGGGGCAGTGGCGACCTCCGCGGGGAGGTGCGGGCGCTGCCGTCGCAGGTCTTCGCCGCCATCGCGCAGGGAACAGGCCAGCAGGCCTGAGGAATAATGCCCAGCAGGTTCCAGGGCCCCGACAGGCCGCGTGAGTACATGCCAAATTGTCTACATGTTGCGTTCTGTAGTGCGGCGGGCCCATAGCGGCGCCCCCACCCGCTTGGCGTCACATGTAGCCTGTGCCTAGGCTAGGCAATTGCCTACCTGTGCACTCTGCCACCTTGGCACGCCAACTGGCTTGCCATCTCGGCCTCCTCACGTTCACTTGCGCTCGTTGGCCTCGCTGGCGGTGCTGGGGCAGCCCCGTGTACTGCAGCGTCGCCGTCGGGCACCTGGCCATTTTGGCCTGCCATCCTGGCCTCATCTCGCGCCTTCATGCGCTTGTAGGCTTGGGTGGCGGTACTGGGGTCGCCCCGTGTGCCTCTATGCTGCCGCCTGCGCCTTACTTTTCGCTGTGGGGACCAGCTGCCCTCGGCCAGGCGCCAGTTGCTGCATGCACGTCAGACCTGCCCTTGGCTTGTCATTCAGGCCTAGCCTCGCGTCTTTCCGCGCTAGTCGGCCTGGGTGGCGGTACTGGGGTCGCCCCGTGTGCTGCTGTGCCGTTGCTGGCGCTTCACCTTGGGCTGTTGGCCCAACTGCCCACGGTGCGAGCGCCTGACGTTGCAAGCATGTCAGACCCGCCCTTTCACCCAGAAGAGGTGCGCGCTACATACTGGTAATGAGGCAGCCACAAGGACGCTCTTCCCTAGGTGGTTGAGCCGTGGTGATGTGGTGCACGAGACCGCCAGTAGTAGTAGTAGTAGTAGTAGTAGTAGTAGTAGTAGTAGTAGTAGTAGTAGTAGTAGTAGTAGTAGTAGTAGTAGTAGTAATAATAGCACTACTACTGCTACTACTGGTAGAAAAGAGGTAGAAGAAGAAGGAGGGCGCCTCCTAGGGCGGAGTGGCTTGCAGTTGCTGCCCGGCGTGGGCTCAGGAGATGGTGTGGCGCCTGCTGAGCGCCCTCCTCACGACGCTTGCAGCGTGGGTCAAGGCCCGCTGCTCGCGGCAGGGCCAGCCGTCGTCGTCGGTGGTGGAGGGTGGGCAGGTCACGACGGCGCAAGTGGGCTTCAAACCGACGTTCGCCAGGCAACGAGATGCGGAGCGGGCGCGTCTGCCCTGCCCGCCAGATCGATACCTTCCGGGGTCACTCTGACATCGTGGCTGGGCATGCCAGGTGGAGGAGGAGGGATCCGATCGACTCGGCTGGAGGGACCGTCGAGAAACATAGCACCGTCTGTGTCTCCCTCGGTGGGGGGCCACGACGTGAAAACAATATGCTGAAATAGCAGCAATGGCTGTATTTGTCTGCTATCCTGCCTGGCGGAGAAAACACCGCGGCCCCAGCCCCCTCCCAGGGAGGATGAGGAAAGGAGGGAGGGAGGGAGGATTGTCGGTGTGCTTCAGATCTGCCTGGATTTCAGAAGCTGCTGTCCAGCTTAAACTACACGAGCATACGCTTACTGTACTCATGCGGAGCATTGCTCCGTCCGCGCTGGTACCTTCGTTTGCTGCATGGTCCAACGCGCTTGATGATGCCCTTCCATATCTGCACGGTTTCCTTTTCAAGTCTCACGGCCGAAAGTACAGTAAGATGATCATATGTTTGCCACATGATCCATCCTTGTTTCGGACCGTACCACCGCTCAGATGATGATGGCCCAGGGCTGCGCGTTCCAGATTGAAGAAATACCACAGAACAAGATGATGGTAGAGCTGGAGTGATAAGCAGAAGGGTGATGAGGAGGACGAGTATCATGATGCTGCGGCTTCTGCTGATGAAGATTGTTCGGTTCTAGGCGGCTGAAGGCGAACCTGGAGCCTGTTCCTAAGTCGGGAAAGTTGCAGATCTGGAGCACGCTCGACCATGCACAGTGGAGCACCGGAGGCCTCATTCTGGCTGAAGCTGAGAGCGCCAGCCTGTTGCGATTCAAATGGAGGCGCCCGTACAAGGCGTTCGGTGGAATAGGAAATGGCCACGTTGCCGCCAGGCAAGTCCACTAATCTTCAGACAAAATCCGGACTTCCTTGCCCGTTTTGGGTTACTCTAAGCGGCCGTTTCCCTTAATTCGGACGGTGCTAGGACGAGGAAAAATCAAGTTCTCCGTTCGGAGCGCTCCGAGAAGGCTGCAGCGCCCGAGACATCCTCCAGAGCAGCTGGATCGCAGAGATTCTCGAATTATCCGTACTCGATTTTTTCCCCGTCTTGGCTTCGTCTTGTTGAAGTGGCGTCGGCTGGCTGCACATCAGCCGCGGGGCGCGGCGGGCGGAGAGCGCCCTCTGTGCGCGTTTTTCGCCCCGTGCTGCGCGGCCGCGGCAACGGACGTCGCGCCGGCAACCGTAGGCTTCGGCGACCTGAGAAGCGGAAGCGAAGGGAGATCTTTTTGCATCATTCAGGCCCTCCTCCTTCTCCTTCTCCCCCTCCTCCTCCTCCTCCTCCTCCTCTTCCTCCTTCCCCTCCTCCTTCCCCTCCTCGCTCCCTCCTTCGACTGGGAAGGGACAGAGGACGCCACGATGGAGCTGCTGCAGTTGGCCCCCCCCGCGTGGTCCCAGATTGCTCTCAGATCGTGGCTTGGGTCATGGGTCACAAGTCGCAGGATGGCCCGGCTTGATTCTCAGTGCATCTTCGGGTGCGATGCTCCAGATAACGTCAATCACTATATATGTAGTTGCCGCAGGTTACATTATATCGCCTCCATGGCTCTGCGCTCATTTCTCCCAGGGGACCCTCTCTTCCTCCTTGGTCTGCGAGGCGGTCCCATGGCCTTTGTTGTTGCGTGTTATCACACACATCGTTTAGCGTCCCATCAGAGTTCGCTTCCATTGTCCCTCTCCCAAGCCGACCAGTTGATAGACGCCGTGAGGTTGGCCACGCGTCTCCCAACGCGGAGGCGTCAGAGGCATTTGTTGTGCCGAGCCTCCCTCGACTCCATCGTGGAGCAGGCGCGACTGGGAAGGGAGGAAGGGTAGAGTGACTAGGATCTGGACTCCTTCACGCTCCGCCTCCTCCTTCCCCTCCTCCGCCTCCTCCTCCTCCCCCTCCTCCCCCTCCTCCCCCTCCTCCTCCTCCTCCTCCTCCTCCTTCTTGTACGGCTTGCTGGAGAAGGGGAGGTGGTGGAGCGCGCGGGGGCGGCGTGTGAAAGTCCATTAAGCATCGGGCGAGGCTAGGACGAGGATAAATCCGTTCCAAGGCATTCCGTGACGCTCTCGGAGCGTTCCGAATCGCTCTGAGAAGGCCGCGGCGCCCGAGGCATCCTCCAGATCCGCCGGATCTCAGAGATTCTCGATATATCCTCGCCCGAATCTATCTTCGTCTTGACTTCGTTTTATGGTGGAGCGTGTGGGGCGGCGTGTGAAAGTCAATTGAGCGAACTTGGCATTCCGTGCGAAGGATCTGGTACTGCGCAGGCATTTCTGTGCCTTGTGCGTGCCTTATGTGGGCGGCCAGGCCTTTGGGGCTGTGGCATTCTTTCTGACACTCGCATTCAGGGCACGTCAGACTCGGGGCTGGCACGTTCATCAGGTCAGGCGGGGGCGGCCGCTTTCCTCGCAGCTAGCGCGAGGTCGTCTGGGACTGCGGAGCGTCACATGGAGAAACGCGAAAATCGTGACAAAGTTGCCTCCACCTTACGGGTTTCGGCACATGAGCTGGCGCCAAGCACCTGGGAACTGGAACGTGTCCCCGAGGGTCTGGGTGTTGGCGGCTGCCAGATGCCTGAGGTCCGCCAAGAGCTGCTGGGCAGACGCAGGCTTGGGCACAGCAGCGATGCAGCGCAGCACAAGCGGCGGACCTTGCAGTGGCGAGCCGAGGCCAGCAAGACGTTGAGCCCGCACCAGAGAGGCTATCGGGGGCACCGGCAACGCGGTCCGCACCTCGAGATCCGTCGGCGTGCAGGGGGCCACCAGACGCATCGAGCCGTGAATGCGGCGCAGCGCTCGGTGGTACGGGGCCCCGATCCAAAGCCAACCCTTCTCCATCTGACCACGCTATGCCGCTACTGCGAACAGGTGTCGCGAGAGAACGAGGGAGTTGGCGAGCATCATCCTTGTGGTCTCCGCGATAGCCTTGGCGGCCTGCGGCGCGAAGGTCTGCTGCGCCTTCGCCGAGTTGCGGCGGCCGTCGGCCTGGTGGCCGCCCGCGTCCTGATGAATCGTGCCCAGGTGGGGGGAGTGGTGAACGAACTCCTGGGCGTGGCCGCCTGTGGAGGTGAGCTGCTCGCGCCCGTTCGGCAGGAGTTCGCGTTGGTGGAGCTTCTTGGATCCCCTGGCCACGCACTTAGGTGTCTGGAGTTCTACGGTAGCGCATGCTTCCCGGAACCGCTGACGCGCGCGGCCAGGTGCTAGCTCGTTGGCCAGGTTAAAGCAGAGGGTGCCTAGCCAGAAGCTTTGGCGGGCCCTGCGGCGAGCGAGGACCACCTCGTGCTCCGCCCCACGCACGGCGAACCATGTGGCGCACTTCAGGAGCGGCCTTGCCTCCGTGGATCGAAGGAGTTGGCATCTCTTCCTCGGCGGAAAGCTGGCGGAAGCTGGCGGAAGTAGAACGAGGCCGCCTCCGCTGGCGGAAGCCGGCGGAAGGACGGCGGAAACCGGCGGTAGTAAAAAATGCGCCCAAAGAGGTGGCAAATTCCCTAAACAGTGCTTGCACTTGGGCCCTTATCCCTGTTCTAAGGAACTGGGCTGGTGTGGCGGTCTGGCGGCTGTGTCGTCGCCGTCCCCGTCTCGTCGCCGCCTCGTCGCCGCCCGTCGCATGGGCTATGTTGTCGCCGTCGCCGCCGCCCCGTCACCGCCTCGTCGCCGCCCGTCGTATGGGCGGGTGTGGCTGTCTGGCGGCTTTGTTGTCGCCGTCGCCGCCCCGTCGGCGCCTCGTCGCCGCCCGTCGCATGGGCCAGTGTGGCGGTGTGGCGGCTATGTTGTCGCCGTCGCCGCCCCGTCGCCGTCCCTTCGCCGCCCCGTCGCTTTGCACCACATGTATTGTCATACATGGAATGCGCAAGATGTGTTCTTCTTTCTGAAATTGATTATGATCTACCCCCCCTGGATTATTCAAGGGGGTTGCGGCATTCCGCCGACCTCCACAAGGAGTGAGTGTTTGAGACGGTCGTGGAAGTTATATCTTGGGTGGAGCCTCCTGAGTGAATCTGCGGGGTCTCTTGGGACGCCTCTCTGGGGCCTCTTCGAATATCTTTGGGGCATGTGGGAGGCTTTTTGGGGCCTCGTGGGGGCCTGCAGGGAGCTTCTTGGGGGCGTCTCTTGGAGGGCCCTCGAGGGCCTCTGGGGGCTCGAGGGGCCATCTCGGTGGGCAAGGCTCGAAATGTCAGTTCGTATTCCTCCTCTTGGGCTTTCCTGGAGCCTTCCTGGGGCCCTCCAGAGGCTGTCTTGGGCCGTCTTTCGGGAGCCCCTGGGGCTGTCTTTGGGCGCTCTTGGGCCGTCTTGGGGCCTTCTTGAAGGCATCATGGGCCGTGTTGGGACGATCTTGGGGGCCACTTGTGCCGTCGTGTTCGCTGTCAAAACGTAACATGATGCGAATGTGCTGAACATGTATGTTTTCCCAAGAGAATGAGATGATTTTGACCTCTTGGGGCCCTCTCGGCGATCCTCTGGATTTGCCTTTGGGCTGTCTTGGGGGCCTCGTGGGCCATCTTGAAGCCATCTTGGATCGTCGTGGGGCTACCCTGTGCCATCATAATGCTCTCTTCGACTGTTTTGGCGCTCTGTTCTCGGGCTGCCTTGGGGTTTCTTGGGGGCTCCGGAGAGCCCCCAGGATGGTTGGCGAGCTCGTCCCCCCCCCCTGCAATCGGATTTTGGACCCTGGGGGAGGGGGAAAGGGGGAGGGGACCAGCCCAATGTTTCACACACCTTGTTACCGCCGCCAAGCGGGCGCCGGCGGATCCCCCTGCCGTAGGGATGTGCAATTTTCTCTCGATTTGCTCCGTTTCTGATTCTACGTCTCGTCTAAGTATGCCATCCCAGCTAAGCCGGTATCGATCCTCCCCCTACCATCCTCGGCAACAGACGCAAGCGCGCACCACACTCGTTTACAAAACCGTCATTTTCGAAAGGATTTTTAACATCGAGTGGCCCGAAGACATACACAAATACATGGTTTTGCAACGCCAATTTTCAAAAAGCCTGCGCGCGCGCTGGTTTGTCAACATGTCAATGCGTAGGCATGTCGGGATTCTTCGAACGCTCTTGCGCGCGTGCTGGGGGGGGGGCACTATCCTTGTCAAATAGTACCATGAGGGCTACTCGCGCCCGTCGGCCGCGCACGCATGTCGAAATCCTTTTTCAAACCTTCATCACCGACGCGTGGACACCATCATCGTCATCTTCGGGGTCAGCATCGGCGCCGTCATTTGCCTTCCCGTCGTTAGCGTCATCGTCGTCACCAGCATCGCTGCAATCTTAATCGCGTCAGCCATTGTCGACGTCGCTATGATACCGCGCTCAACCGAGACTGGCTCGCTCTGAAGTGCCCGCGCGTCAGCTCGGCTTGTGAGACGCGTTGGTAAGTCCCCAGCGGTCAACGCCAATGCGGCCGCGTCGGTCGCGCCAGACTAGCTGGCCGCTCTGCGCGCGAACCTGCGCTCGCTAGCGCGGCCGCAGTGATGTGCCAGCCAGCGCCAGGCAGGCATCACAATTGCCGCCTCACGGGTTTTGCAAACCAAGTTGCGGGTGGGTGGGTTGGATGATTTCGCGAATAGTGTACTTTCAATTCACTGCGGGCAACAATTAATTGCACCACAAATACTGCACTTCATCTATTGCACAGCGAAGATTGCATCACATAGATTCTGTATTCTAAGAGAATCTTATGATCTACCCCCCTCGGACGTAATGCATAATTTTCTTTGTGTTGCAATTTTCATACGATTCAACCCCACCGTCCATCCTAAATATGAGTTCGTACCATCCCAGGCAGACGACCATCGACCCCCCTTCATCTTCTTCCCAAAAATACTACGCGCGTGCACTCGTGTATAACGAATCACCAGTCTTCGAAC